CATGGTCATGCAGAGATTTCAACTTCTAACTTCTGACAATAATACCACTGTACCAAAGAGCGCTGGAAGAACTTGAATTATTCTGATTTGACCAGTTTTATTTGCAAAGGAGCTGACTGTGTAGGTGGAATGGAGCTAGTTTGATTGCGATGTCTTGTTGTCAGATTTCTTCTTCTTGAAATATTCTCGAGCAAAGATGCAGTATACGGTTCTTAAACCTGGTCAGTTCAATGGGACTTTAATAACTCCAGGAAGAAAAGTCTTTCGAAAATTGTTACCGCCTTCGTTCATAGGAAATACAATTCGTTCGGCGCTTCCACCCTTACTAGGTTAAAATTAATACTGCTAGTAAGACCGGACAGGGTTAAATTAAAGTCTCTTAAAATTGCTTTTATCTTGTCATCTTATGTTTATGCTATATTAATGATAAATGTCTAAAATTCAAGACATTTTCCTGAATTGACTATGTCGTGTGAGTGATAGTCACCATACTTTTGTCTTAAACGTTCATGGACAACCATTAAGGATTGTTTTTCTCAGGCTGAGGATAAAAATACATCCATCCACCCACACTTATGAGTATTACGATAACCAAGTCAGTCATGTAATCCCGTTGTGACAAGCTTTGCACAGGTGATTTAAACAAGTTTCTTTCATATTACTATTCCCGACAGACAAAAGGTAGAGTCCGAAATTGTTTTGCCTCCAGCAGCTAGACTCAAGAGGATGTAGTCAAAGTGGGCCACATTCCTAACGTCTCAGACCACACTGAGTGGTTGGTAAGAAAATCGCTTTTATAGAATATGGCACAGACAACCGCATTTGATGCATTTCCGTGGAAGATATTAATGCTCAGTTTCGGCGCAAATGCAAGAAATCTATCGGATAAAACTGAAGATCAATCATTTTTCAAGACATGACAAGCACCCGATGACCGATAGTCTACCAGTGCGTGTCCAGTTCGGAGACTACCAAAGCAAGACTTTTGATGCGGCAGCAGATTTATTACCAATGTCGTGAGCTCCACTGAGTTTCACCGCGGTCAACTAATTGTCTCTAGATAAAGTATTTGGTGTTGACTGTGACTACTTACAAGGAGGCAAATCCAGTTATGTGGCACTCGGCAATTACCATTGTGCATGTAGTTCAAGTTGAAAAGTAGAATTCACCCACGATTATCAAGCGTCTACTGAGAGGCCAGTCAATGAAACCTGGGTTGGAAATAATCGTTTAGAAGTGAAAGTAACGCTGACGGATTGTGCGAATAAAATTCCTTGTGCAACTTCCAGTATGGAGGGATAATTGGACAAGATCACTAGGCCCGAAGACATACTCTTGAACCCCTCTAATCTGGTGTCCCCTTGAAAAAAACTGTCACGCTGGGCAACAGACCATTTATGCGATATTACGGAGGTGCACTTGTGCCACATGGTACGCAGATGTATGTGTCTTTAGTACCGAGTCTATCAGGATTTTATACACATTTGTCCTGCAAGTTAACTCAGTGGCGAAAGCTTGAATATACTGATGCGACGGTCCGTAATTTGAAGTCGAATTCTCAATCAAGACTTCTCCCATCTAACCTGGGGCAACCTAGCGCTCCTGCTTCATTCGAAAGGCATGCAAGCTGGGCATCAAAAAAGGTATCACAGCCGAACCATCATTATTATTGCTGTTTCTGCGAAAGAAATAGTGTGTACTTTCAGAACAGTCCTACTTCTTGTTACTTGTGTAACAGTGATACTACTAATGGGGAGGCATGCGAGTGTCATGGTATAAAAAGCTTTGTGTGCGCTTCATTTGATGCGAATTTAGCGAGTGGAAATAACAGTTCCGAAAAATCTTGGCTTTGAAACAATGCGGTAAGGGGCATTTGTTCAAGCGGCAGTGCGATGAAATTTATCCCATCTACGATTAATTTTATTGTCAGATATCAAATGACCTTGGAACATAACTGTTGTCATTAAGTTTTTGCATATATTAGCAAACATTGACAATATCTCGACAACAGCTAAACCAACATCTAGATTTCATGTTGAGAGTAAACAAAATGAAAGAAGATACTGAAATTGTATATAGATTTGCGAGGATTTCGTTCCAAACTACGAAACTCACTTCACGGTACGCCGCTCGCAGTTGTCATAGTTGAGGAGCTTTGTTGTTGTTTTCGAAACTACGAAACCACTTCACGGTACGCCCCGCACAGTTGTCATAGTTGAGGAGCTTTGTTGTTGTTTTCGAAGCTAGTAAGGACGTAATGCTCGTATGTTAACCGTATCTTAACCTGGGTGCATACGCATAAACAGTTTGTATGCTTTGTCGGTTGATTAATCGAAAGTATCTCTGCTCAGATCATTAGCAGAGTTTGGAGGAGAGCTTTGAAGGTAGCTTGAAACTTTTCACAGCTCATTTTTAGAATATGTCTCAGAATGGTGGCTATATGTGTACTCTTTGTTTGTATCCTCTAGCTCACGAGCACCCTCCGATTCCTACACAGTGGACAGGCTCTGTTCCACAACAATGTTAGTCCTGGATCGATCTTACTCACTGCGCAAAGCCAGTGGCGACTTGCTGGACTGGCCTTCGTGGAAATCATAAAGGACGACAAATGCGAGAGTCCACGTCTCAAGTTCCCCTCCTCCAAAGCCCTAGCCTCTCCATCGGTACGTGGAACCCAGAAAAAATGGAAAATTTTGGTTGCGCTTTGCTCATATCTTGAATTATTATTCCAACCATTTTCTCTCTGTCTAACTGACCATCATTTGGGGGAATATTTTTCATTTGAACAGTGTGATCCAGGATTTTCACCGTGGACTCGCAAGTTACCCAAGATGGCTCGTCCAGACACTCACTATGCCGCCCCAGAGTGTTTATTTCTCACGTCTGGTTGGGCAACGCCGTTCGGTTTAAAACGGGCAAGACCAACTCCAGAAGGTCGAGCTGCGGAAAACGAGTCATTCATTGAGGGTCACAAAAGCGGGAAGTCTACCAAGCGAATTACATCGGTTCCTGAATCTCGCACAGCAACATCCGGAGAAATACCAGGTCCTTGGTCGGACATGTTTTCACTTGGCCTGCTGATTTGCTCATTATACTCGGTTGGGGAACCTTCGCCGCATTCGCTGTGCTGTGTTGCACAAGGTTGGGGAACCCCCCAATCACTGTGCTGTGTTGCACAAGATCAAGTAACATCGTTGCCCTCTTATGACACAAAGGAACACAAAACTCAACCAAGCGGTGAATGTAATACTGCTGACAGTGTCTCCCAAAAGGATAGAAACCCTGATATTATCCGCGCTAGACAGCTCGCCGTGGACATGCAGGTAGGCTATGAAGCTGATGGCCAATGACTTTCGGTGCGTTGTTTTAATTTTCGTCTTGGGTAATGTCTGTTTGGCTCTGAAGACAATCTTAACAAATTTTCCACGAACTTGAAAAATTGAAAATACCTCATCACTGAGCAGCTTATGTTATATGCTCCAGCAAGTCCTCAGGACGTGCTTCCCCACTGCCATAGACATACCGGTAGGAATGCACAAGCAGTTTTTCCTGAAAAAGTGAGAAGACTTTTGGTGCCATACTGCTTGCTGTAAGTAGTTGTATCCTGTCAAAAGCAATGGTCAAACCATAATCCTGAAACATTGGCAGCCAGGTAATTCTTAGTAGCTTTAAGTTGTGAACTGTCCTAGATCCGTCTCAGAAAACGGCAGATCTAATATTTCGGCGGCCAGTACGTGGAGTTGTTCAGGTCCCACGAACAGCGTGTGTTGACACATAGAATTCCGAGGCAAACTATATGGTTACCATCCTGCTGATCAGGTGGCCCCTAGTAACCACGAATTTAAATATACTTAAAGTCTGTGAACAATGGTGGCGAAACATATCGCAGCACGTAACTTCTGTGTTCCGATGAGATGCACTGAGAAAACCCAAAGTTTCGTGATCGTGTTCAAGATTTCATCATCTAGGCACAGTAAATCTAGACTTGAAAGTCGAAGAACACTGTACAGTCACGACTGGCTGATTAGCAGTGCGATTAATTCGAACTGATGAATGATGTATCTTTTAGTCAGTCGATTCTCACTTCTTGGCTGTTAGTTAATTGAGCTCTCACATGATAAGTACTCACAAACCCCCTTTAACCAGTAGCTGAGAGGTCTCAAGTATGCATCTTCATACAGATTAATGATGTGCGCACGGGCCCCAAGTATGATCTTCATACAGATTAATGATGTGCGCACGGGCTCCATATAGAAATGAAACGGTTCTTGGTATAGGTTCGCCAAACTCGCGGGATAAAATGACCCAAAACTTCTGATGCCCACTACGAAAGTATTCAGTTTGAGTTCTCTTGGTTCGGTTGTCAACCATTTACTGCATGCTCTTCTGAGAAACCCCAAAATAAACTGATTCACTGGTTTTCTATAGAGGAAAATGTTGGTAGCTAGCTCATCGTAGATGGTGGTCGTTGGCTTGTTCGCTGAGCTGGGCAATTTGATTGCAAACGTTTCATCACCAATCGAGGTGACATCATCAGTGCGTTATTGTGGAGCGTAGTAGTGCGTAGCGGTGGGTTGGTGGTTGTGCGTTGGGTAGTGTTGTGCGTGTGTTAATATACGTGCTGCTAGCAGGGGATGACCTTTGGTCGCGATTAGTTGTTCGGTCGGGTGATTCCATTGGTTGCTCCGTTGTCCTGTATCCCCATTCGCCGATGCCCACGTGACCTTTGAGCTTGGCATCCCCTCCGTCGTAATCTGGTCGAAGCTAGATTGACCTTTGTCCCTTCCAGTCCTGGGTTGTGACCTTTATTGATTTGCCATCGGCGAATGGGGATACAGGACAACGGAGCAACCAATGGAATCACCCGACCGAACAACTAATCGCGACCAAAGGTCATCCCCTGCTAGCAGCACGTATATTAACACACGCACAACACTACCCAACGCAAAACCACTAACCCACCGCTACGCACTACTACGCTTCACAATAACGCACTGATGATGTCACCTCGATTGGTGATGAAACGTTTGCAATCAAATTGCCCAGCTCAGCGAACAAGCCAACGACCACCATCTGATTCACTGGTTATATGTTTTGGAATAAGCCTACAATGTAATTAAAATCTCATTTGGTGGTGTTCAAAAGTTGGTTTGGAATAATGTCTTAACCTTGCAGCTGTTTTGGAGTTCAAGCAATTTTTAGGCATTACAACTTAGAAATTTGTATATACTCAATTAGTGGCAAATATTTGTCTACAAAACAGCTAGTGATTATAAAACATAAATCCATCTCTCCGTCCTTATATACAAAACACTCAACGCTGACTACAGTGTTGATTTAAAAATAAAGCTCTTGACGGATTTGAGAAAAAGGACTAACAATAATCTCATTCCCTCTGTCGCCATATACTTAGGGAAGAAACTGGACTTTAAGGGCTCTCTCCTCACATACGCATCAGTGGATTTGTTCACTGCGTGTTCTTCGTCATCGAAGAACAAAATGCATCGCAAAGGCTTAAGCAGCTTGATGGAAAACTTTGAAAAATAACCTAACAGTTTCACGTTAAATCAAAATGCGATCTATAAAGCATTTTACACGCACAGATGTCGATAGAGTTCAAGACAAGTTCTCGTTCATATTACAAACCAATCAGGCTTGCCAATTTTATACCATAACCATTAAGTGTTTCAGTTGTGCTTACGAGACAATCATCTGTGACTTTTTACATATATTAGGAAAGCCGCTACTCAAATTGATCAATTGTTGGCATTTGTTTTTGTCACGTCAAAATATCTAGAATGCTCAAAATAACGGGGACGACTATGTAGTGTAGCCCAAACTCAAGATATACTGTTTTCCTCTACGTATTTTGAAGCTGATAGTGCTGCCGTTGCAGACCGCTTTGGTTTCTGCTATTAGCGGAGAATCGACTCCTTCACGAGAACTTGGGGACAGCAATATCCAAGCCATTCGAACGCAGTCACATTTTCCTGGTCACTGTCAGGACTTCAGACTTCAAAAATTTGGAATTCTGATTTTTGAATTCCTGTATACCAATCAACTGCCATCTGTGTAACTTCAGCCAGCGTCAAACATGCGGCTGACCACGCGACCAATTGGTTGTTGATCAGGTGGCTGTTGGTTAGTTCGCTGAGCTTGGAAATTGGCTTTCAAACGTTTCGTCACCATACGAACACACGCACTGATGATGGCTCTTTGTATGGTGCTGGACTGTTCTCAATCAATGGACAGCCAAGCTCGATGAACAGATCATCGGCCATCTGAACAAATAAACTTACCAGAGCTACCAATATTCCAACACTTTACCAAAAAGATCGACTTGAAGTCACATCATAATAGGGCTCCGGCCTTTAATTTGCAATATTAGATACTATGCACCCCTAGAGTTCAGGGTTCTTTCCCTTACTCCGGATCGGGTTATGTGTACCACCCCATTTTGATCCCTGAACGCCATTAGATGGCTAATGGGAGAGGTATCAAACTCTCTGAGATGACCTGGAAAATATCCACAATACGGACCCACCCCCGATCTCCAACGGAAAAACATCGGGAACTAAGAACGCGATTTGGCACGATGGTTGCATACTAACTAATCATAACCGGGAAGGATGTTTGAACATAACATCCCGTTTGACGGCATCTGGTTTGTATCCCGGGAAGTGAATCCCGGTCATGAACGTTTAACATCATTACATATGGTCTCATCAGTACAGCGCTTTCACGTGTGGCAGAATGGTACAACAGTTATTGTTTTAATGAGGTTGAATATGCAAGCGTCACAAAAATGTTACCTTGCGGAACACATCTTTCAGGTATTCTTAGCATACCCCAAAGCCTCAAAACAAATACTTGACCTTCCACATGTAAACAAGTTGGAAAGCTGTGAATTCGCCTGTTACCGGTGATTCTGTGTTGGGCACCGGTGAAGTGGAATTGTGGTCAAGAGCAGCGTGATTGCCGGCAACCGTCTGAACGCTGTACCTGTTTCCAGCATAGTTAATTCTGTCATCTGAGTGGGTCAAGCTCATTTTGTGTCTGGAACATAGTTACAGAATATCTTTGTGCAACCCATCTACAGATCCCGGAATTATTCCGCAAAGCGGTAGGACGCATGCCATTAGAGCTTGTTGAACCGGTGGAGAAAATGCTATCCCGCTCATCTCAACGACGACCAACTTCGCAGCTATTTGCATTGGTAAGCTTCGAAAAAATCCTTACTTTAAAAGTTTCGTATGTCGTTATATTCTACGAACACCTGTTGCCCAAATATCTGTCTGGCACGCCCAATTCATAGGTCTAATTTGGCAATGATAACTGTTCTCAGGAGAAACGTCACCATGACAACGTAAAACTGAGCGGTCTTTTTAACAAGTAAGAGGTTCGGAGAATAAGTAAGATGACAATCATACTTGACTGGTACTTAGCAGCAATTTTTCTGCATAATTGGTAGATTTAATCAGAAAGAAAACTGAGTTTTCAAGACAGGTCTGTTAGAACGTTCAAGATTTGGATGCACTTCATCAGAGCCACATATTCATGACTTAGAGGTATCTGCACAAGTTCTTGAAATTCCGTTGGAGAAAAGCTGTCTACTCAGCAGCTACTCGGCTGTTCAGAACAGATGGAATTCTCTTGCAGGACAAAATACCGATGAACATTCCAAAATACCTTAAATGAATATGACCAGTTTAGCACTATGTGTAGGCGTCTGGTGATGAGATCCCGGAAAATTCTATTCAGATTCTGGATATGGGAGGAAAACTACGAGATACCGACTTAGCTAAGATCAGTTGTCGCAAATTACAGATGGGAGATTTCAGCAAAATCCTTGTCTGCAAGAACTAGCTTGCACAATTTTGATTCCCAATGGATATGTTGACACACAGCAAAAAATGGTCTGTTTACGCAACGGTACAACCACACCTGCATCCAATATCATTTAGCTTGAGATTAAAGTACCTTGAAGAATTATTCGTCAGTCTAGGAAACCTTCCCAGCACAGGTCACGTAATTTATGAGACGATAAAATTAGCCTTCGATATCTAGTAAACCCAATAATACCATGATATTGTGCACGCACCGTAAGACTGCAGGCAAATAGACTAGTGCAGTCGGTTGATTTACCAATGTACTATTTTTGAACCTATCCCGTTAAGCAAATTTTCTTCCAAGATGAAGATACGCTTATGATATCCCAAAATAAAAGTTTCATACCTAGACTTGGCTCAGCAATGCCAAATCGCCACAGCAGCAATATCATGTCCGCAGGTGTAGCTTAGATCAAGTCAACTGAGCAGCGGATCACACTGAGCTGTCTAAAAAAGATATTTACAAGTGGCATAACCAACATTTTGGCTTCCTGGAGTAGCATTACGCAGGGATGTCACGGCAGTATAACTTTCTTGAAAATTTTCGTTTTTACAATATCCTCACGATGTGTTGGTGGTTTGAACAACTTCGAACTACGCGTAAACAAGAACCATGGAACATTTCTCGTTCCCTAAGACAGATGCATAGCTTGAAAAGATGATATGAAAAGGCAGAACATTAGTTGCTGTCAAAAATATTTAATAGTCCTATTACTAACAGTAACAGTAGCGATGAGGAACACAGTTATGTGCTTGTTCACAAGTAATGGACTGTCAGTCGAGTTCTGGTAATTGAGCCGTTCATTTGTTATCAAGGGTTCTTAACTAACAACCTGTGGGGTCACATAAAACAGAAAAGTGGATAATGACAAAATTAGAAAAAACTTCATTGGCACAGATGTTTGGAAGGACATGCTGCGTGCACACAGTGCCCGAGTACACACTGTTATTAACGCTTGGTCCATCCAGCTGAGCTTCCACATCTTTGAATGCTTTTTATCGTACTGTTAGTTAGTGAACAGGGTTTGAATGATGTTCTCCGATATTTTACAAGACGGCAGACCAATCACGCTGATGAATAACTGTAGGCCTACGACACTAGACAAAACTTGTTGTGACCTATAATACCCTACACAACTGTATCAAGTTTGACAATGTTTCGAGCAGTGAGCTCAGATATTGAGGTATTGATGTATCTTAACATGTCTTGAAATACCTTAAAATATCCAATATTAAAGTGTATTATGCCTACAGTAAAACGTTTCGGACACTGCAAGCTTCAACTCTATTGCAGTTTATCAGTTGCAGATAGCCATCCAAGCCTTTTGGGACGAAAGGCCCACTTCTTGGGCTTCGAGACATTCTACCATTGTTAGGTAGGTGTGGGTTTGAATATTTAAACTTATTCCTCTTAAATGCATGCGAGAACAACAGATTTCCAAACTTATCCTTTTATATTAAGTTATTCATGTACACCGATCATTCGGTGTTGGAGAGTTGATAACGCGGTCCCGCAGTATTGTAGATGCTTGGGGATAAAATCCCAATGCAACCAAGGACATGTATTGTTGATATGTTCTTATAAGAGTGGAACTCGCGCTTGAGTGATAAATAGCTAGACAGACGGCGGGCTGTCCAGGTAAAATTAATCCTGTAAGATTGTCACTGATGTGAAGGAAATTTGTGGGCTGAAATAATCCAGGCTTTCTGTTGTTTTCGTACGTGTGGACAATACAGCAATATAAACGAAAAATCACGAAGATTATTCCGGGGCCGCATTAACCGTCCTTTACGATGTAAACTTAGTAACCTATCCAGTGACAGTTTTCTAGCTGGAAGATCAAATGACATTCACTTTTAGGAAGTAGGTCGTCACAGGTCAGCCCAACAATAGGCGTTTGGATTCATTAATAAGTGTTATGCACAGAATTTGGATTGAGGTTCGTATCAGTGACATTGGAAGGAAAATCACCCGATTTGAATTTGGATGAAGTGACAAAATGAAGGACGCGTTGACTGGGTCAGGCAGTTGGGTTAGACAGTTCGGTCTAACTAGAAGCCAGTGTTTTACCCGAACATGCAGAATGCATATTTATTTTTTTCATCTGTTGGTTAATTTGCCGGTTGTTGGTGCCACTACTGATAGGCAATGTCACCATACCATAACATGCGATGTACCTACTTCGGAGACATACGGATGTAATCGTTATGAACCAACGCTTGGTAATCACGCATCTCCAGTTTCTATTCCGTCCTCAGCTGCAACTAAAGCCTCTTGAAATCTAAGGCACTAGTATGTGCTCACTGCCTTCAAAAGTGACAGAAATTTCTACAGCCAAGCGCAGGGCGGGACATGAAGTCCCCAAGAGAGATCCCCACCTAGGTTCACTGGTGCGATGTTTGCCGGCCTCAATGACGGCTCTTGTGTGGATCACCCTGAGTATTTCACGAATGACTAGAATCGGCTTTTGCTCATTGGGGCCATATACATCGACAGAAGTGGGGCCGACATTTGGAGCCAAAGTTCGCTCAAACGCTTTGTAAGTTATCGAGGATGCTACCTATTGACAAGAAAGGTATGATACTGCTGACCTCTTTACTTCGAACCTACTGAGACAGTGGTGTCCTAATATGGAAAACTAAAATTCATGTCAGTGGACGGATGAACAGATATACATGCATGTAGCGGCATGTTCTCCATAGAGTTTTGGTGTCGCAACGTAGAGGTTCAACATTACTGATGAACATCTACGAAATATCACTTGGTATCCCAGGATTAATTTGCTGTCCATTACCCGGCGCTTCCAAAACCTCCTTATATTTTTCACTAAAGATCGGTACGTACGTCTCCGGTATTAGGATCCGGCACTACCAAGAATGTGCAAATCTGATGAGCCCTTTAAAGATTGAAAGTTGTTTCGGACAAACCGAAATAATAAGTCCATTCAAACGAGAGTAATATGAAACAGATGATCTCCTACAAGTCCCTGGGCCCTCTTTATTCCTGCCCACATCCATTTTGCCGACAGCTTTCTCACGTAATATACAGATCCGGAGTGGTTTTGTTTCCTGCTTTATGGAAAAACTATTATCACTTCTGGGTTAGGCATATCCGAGTTTTTTTACTGGTTCAGATGCTCGTCCAAAACAGGATTATAAATGTTCCGATTGCCCACTTATGTCTACATTATTTATAATATGGCAATGAATCTCTATTCAGTACTTTTCTGTTGGTTTCAATTTAATTCCACGGGGCCTTATCTCTGCGTTATGTCTTTTCACAACTTACCAGCTGAAGTTTTTCAATGACCCATGCCTACTCTCGCTATACGTGTTGGGAAACTTTGCTGAAAAATCAGATGATGAAAGGTACAAGTATCTTGACGTGGTTCGCACTCATCTAAATGAATTTCCAAAGGTAAGTTCTAGCAGTTACCGTGTCCAGTAGTAACTGAGAAATGTGTTTTTGGATATCCTGTAGCATGAGAAACCTTTCTTTCCCAATGTTAAGAAGACCACCTTCCTAACTAGACCATTTTATTCAGCCTGGCTACGCACTGTCTACGAGCAAGCTACACAGCTAGTTTCTGCACTCCTGTAAAATGGACATTGTTACAAAGAAACCCGCGATCATCAGGTCACGTTCAAATCGAAGGGCTCTGTGATACAGCCGGTATCTCAAGTTTCGGAATACTTAGTAAATTGCATTTAATTCAAGGTTAATAATAATCCCAATCGCTTCAACTGCTAAAAATTATCAGGGCCTTGCTCCAGAGATTGGTAAAGCCGGATATTTTTTTACACAAACATCTCACTACGTCTTTTATTGATGAGAACACATGCACAAAACTTCGAAAGGCGTGCACCCGACGCGTATTCAAAAAAAGCCCACTTACTCAAAAAGGATAGTTTTTTTTATGTAATTAGCCTTTAACCTTTATTTTTAAAGCATGAGTTCTCAAATCAGTTTCAAGCACCGACGGAACCTGATTACCCGATCATTTTGGATCCATAATCTATGTCAATATTCACTCCCCAATATGACGGGGGCCATATTGTCAATTTGATTAACAACCGATAAAGTTGAAGGTGCCACGTTAGTATGAGAGTATCATGACTGAATGCACTCAGAATTAACACTGGGATAAATAGGGTCAGCGTTCAGGCTCGATTGGTAGACGTCAAAATTTTTTTTCAGTTTGTACGTAATCCCATCATCATCATCCTCGTAGGTGACAAGATAGAAGAGCTCTCTTCTATACAAGTGTGTCAGTTCGCTTGGATAAAGAGGAAGACAGGAGTGAGGAGGGCATCTAGGGATAGTTTAGCACAGATGCCCTGGGAGCATACACCTCCAACACTCAGATACATAGGATAGAATGGAACAGCATAAACACCTCCGATATCGGTTGGCTACCGTGTTTTT